CTGCTAACCTATCCTAAGTCGGGAATGCTTGTTCTTCCTATGCAATTCCTTCCTGTGCAGTCCTATCCACCCTTACCCTTCCTAGGTTTCAAAAGGGAAGCTGCACCTTGCCTTCTCTCAGGCTAAGCAACAATTAGGAATTATCTAGGAATTGGTAAAACTGCACACCTAACATGATTAATATTGAGACTTCAGGAAATCAAAATATAATGGCGTGAAGAATTATTTATACATGGTAAATATTTCTTACAGGGAAAATGTTTTTGGAAAAAAAGCAAGGTCTAGTGCTTAGAGCAGATAACAGAGATAAAAGGAAGCAGACTCTATTTCTAGCACTGTGACCTTGGGCAAGCCATTTAACCTCTCTGTGCAGCTGTTTATGCATCACTAATATGGATAGAGCTACCTACCTCACAAAGGTGTTTTGAGGGCTAAAGGATGTTGTCAGATGCTCTTGATCCAAATATTGTCAGAGCGGATGCTGGTTTTTAACAGAATCATAGTAACCCCAGTAATCAAGGAAACACTGCCATGATTGTTTTCTTTCTTTACTCTTGGGAATACAGTTCTCCATGCGAATGTGAAGTTCTCCTGTGCTCTCTGCTTTGCAAAGTGCTGCAGCTTTGGTCAGTGCATGAGAATCTGATTAGGAATCTGGCAAATGGCAAGGGGCTGATGAGGGATTAGTGTATGCAAGTATACATTCCTCTATTCATTGCTTATGGCAACTTGGAACTAAGCCAGTGATGTAGACTTTGAGCGATGGATGTCAGGACAGTAGGGCTAGAGAGAGGGAAACAGTTCTCTCTGTGGGCTTTTTGTTTTATAGGATGGCTTAACAATTCTGTCGCAGTTGAAAGGAATCTGGTAGTTTGCATTAATTTTGTAATGTTCAGCATCAGAGGTTGGGGTTTTGTTATGTATTGAGCACAGATCTATCATCTGAATCTTTCTTAAATAGAAGAAATCAATCATTTACTAGAATGGGAAGCATTGCCTGGGTGTAAATCAGTGCCAGGAGGCTACGTGCACTCTGTGTGGAATGCTCCTCACTGCTCACAACTGCCGCTTTCTGTCTACCTGTCTGTGTCCGTCCTTCCCTCCTGCCTAAGGCTTTGCTTGCTAACCTTCTCCTCTAGCTGTTGGTGGGTCATTTGCTTGCTGGATTCAAATGGCAGCCTGTCTGTATGTGATTTGGGTTGCATTAGAAAATCCAGGAGCTGGAAGCCACGCTGTATAATGCCCTGCAGCAGGATCCAGGAAGGCGTGCAAGCGAGTCGCTGACCGAAGCCCAGAGGGAGGATTTGCGAGCTGCAGTGGAGAAGGTGCGGCGGCAGATCCTGAGGCAGAGCCGCGAGTTTGACAGCCAGATCTTGCACGAGCGAATGGAGCTGCTGCAGCAGGCACAGCAGGTAAACCTGGTTCTCTTTCCTCCCCCTTGTTGATGTTACCTCTGTGGTTGCCGCCACTGCCCATACAACAGCATCACTTCACTCTCACCTCGTTGAGTTACACTTAATCTATTCCTTGTATGGCTCCCGTGTCAAGGAGACGAGCAGTGTTAGGACCCAATTGTGCTGGGCACGGTACACACACAAAACAAATCACTGTCTCACTACAACGTCCTGTTGCACAGCCTGTTTCATGTGTGTACAACGACACAGTCTTCCACAGGACTGACTCCATGAGAAGCTAGTTGCAAGTTTAAGGCCTAAATTAGGAAAACCAGGAGTGGAAGGTTATAAGAGTATAACACTCACATATGAGAGGAAAGGCAAAAGCAGTTCTTACAGGAATCCATTTTTTAATTTTTCACCCATTTTATTTCTTTTAGCTATTTGTGAAATCTTTTAAAATTAAAAAAAAAAAAAAAAAAAGAGGAAGTAATAGGAAATCTTTTAAGAGGCAGTTTGCAAGCCTTCATGGCTTTAAAGTAGTTCAGAAAAGCCTTGTCTGTCTAAGCCACTTCCTTAAGGACAAATACTGACAACTTGAATTCAGGCAGGTTCCTGGCAAGAGTGGTAATTATTTACTGAAGAATCATGTGGTAGGATTGCTAGTTTTTATGTGCAAAATGTTCAGAGAAAAGACAG